CCACCGTGTCCATCAGCAGACGGAGCAATTGACTTAATTAAGGCAGCGCTGCCGTTCGGCGGCCTCTGCCCTTGCTATGCAGCTGCGGAGGTGTCACGCGATCGCTCTCGCATTTAGCGCGAAGCCTCTGCAGGCAGAAGCGGAAACTTTTACACTTAAGGATGTTGTTTGTTTTTTTTCTGTTTTTCTTCTTGCAAAAAGAAAGAAAGAAGGAAAAAAGAGCAGATCTGGGTTGCCTGATCTGCAGCGATGATACGTGTTCGGTGTGCCAACGCTTATCTGATTGTCACTTCTGCAGCTCTAGCAGCTCAAGAAGCCGTGGGCACAAGCAGGAGGCGGATGGCAGCCCTGGCCGGGGCTCTCCCTCTGCTGGACAAGGGTCATCCCGGGCATGGAGCCGCCCCGTGGATGAGTACCCGGCATTGGGGATGCCCTTGGCAATTGCAAATACGCCCCGAAACCAAAAAGCCCAAAGCACAGGTCGGATTCCTTCTCTTTGCAATGGTGCCCATGCAGGGTGTCCCTGTCCCTGCTGAGTCCCGCTGGGACGGATCTCTGGTGTCCCAGGAGCGGAACTCTGGTGTCTGCCGGAGCTGAGCTGCAGCTCAGGGCAATTTCCATCTCACCAGTCTCATCATCCCATCTTTGGCTGGGAATGGTGCAAAAGCGTCAGCACTGAGGTGAATCTTAACCTGGGCAAACGCGAAGGCGAACGCGGCCACCACCTCTATTTTGGTCACGCTGCGTCTCCAGCAAATATCTGTAAGCTGCATCTGCAGCTCAGCCCACGAGCTGGAGGCTTTGCACCATGCAACAGGAAGGTATTTTTCTCTCTTTTTTTTTTAGTATAAATTACTGCCAGAATGGGCAGATTTGCAGCAATTCCCTCACTGCCAAATGCAATTCTAAAGCAGAAGGCACTTGTGCAGTAACCGGGCAAAAGAAGAAAGTTGTACCCAGCAAGGACATTCGAGAGGAGTCCGATCGCCTGTCTGCGGATCTCCACCTTCCCCAGTCCCGAACCTCCTGCTGCTCCGTTTCAGCATCTCCACGCGCCCCACGGGCCACCTTGCCCAGGCCCAACACGAGGTGCCACCAACCTCCTCCCGCTGGAGCGCGGAGCCGGGGAAGCGGCCGCGGGGAAGCGCCGGCGCGGCAGGGGAGCGCCGCGAGCCGCTTACCTTGTCG